AAAAGTTATTTAATATTAAAGATTTATAATATATATATATAATTTATATAATATATATTTTTTTATATTTGATTATATACTATATTATATATATATATATACATGATCACCCCTTGACCCATGTATCCATGGTAAAAATCACATGATAAATGGCATGCCCCTAACAGAACTTTTAAATAGACAATGACTAAAATTATACATGTATCTATATGTATTCTTGTCAAATATACTATGTTTGTGGTTCTTAGAGATACTAGTGATTTCTTATATATTTATAAAAATATTAAACCAAAAAAAACTATCCTTGATTACAAAAAAATAATAAATAAAACAATTTTAGCAATATATTTGAATATGAAGATTTCAATAATTTTGAAAATATAACATAATATAGATTATTCTTATCACTGCAATATCAACCTTGTTAATATCAATCTAAGCTACAAAACAAATTTTTATAAATTTTTATATATCAAAATTTTCTTATATATATTAACTTTAGGTGATATAAAAAAATTTTTTTGGTTTTCATATCCTGGCCGGGTCAGCAAATACAAAATCTAAATTTTTTTTTTATAGCGCAGTAAATAAATAACTAATAGAAATACATGATATATGATCATAATATTAATAACAGAAGCATTTGAAACTCACAAAAATCGAATGATGATCCCCTGCAGCAAGCCCTGTAAGATTCAAACCCCATTGATCTGATAATGCCAATCTTGTAGAGAGGAAAAACCATCTACTTGATTTGGTTTGGCAGATGTCAAGGTAATATTATCTTGTTGAGATTAATGTGGCCATGGCATTATAGCATGATTGTGTCAATGGGAGAGAAAATACTAGAGTAACGAAAGGGCGTGAGCATTTTTTTTCAACTTTCCCTATGTAAAAATATAAAAGCCCTTTAGTTTTAGAAAAGAAAGTAATCATAGTCCTTAACAAATAATAAAGACCCAGTTCAATTCTAACTTAACTCTCTAAAGAGACTATTGTAATGTACATCATTCACGTATAACTTACTCAACTTGTTTCTACCTCTAAATTAGTGAGTAATGTTACATGATGCTTTTCTTTTATTTTTTTGTGTATTGACCATTACCTCTGACAATATAAAACCTAGTTCTATATTTATAATAAACAGACATTCATATAATTGGCTAATAGTCACCCAATATGTTAGAGAATAGCTTTCTTCTGATTGGCCAATTATTAATTGTATTTATATAGTTTAAAGTATGTTTTAAGAATATAACATTTCACAACTACAGAACTAATAGAACAAGACTTTTTTTTCAGAATAGGTAAACACTTAGCTGAGTTATGTAAATAATGTTTTAGAATATACTGCAAAAGAACTTTTAATGTGTTATTAAGTAATAAAAATGGTTAAAGATTTTAGATTTTTAATGAATCTTTTTTGCTTTAATATCTGAATATATATGGGGTTGGTTAAAGCAGAATGAATTCAATATATGATCTATATACTGCATAAGTTGCATTCTTGATATCTATATAATCTGCTAACTATAACTATATCAAAAAAGTAATCCTAAACCTTGCTCCGTATATGTGGCAAATGAGTAACACACATGTGATTTCAACAATTTTTATATTATAATACTAGTGAACTCTCATTATAGTGCAAAGAATACAATAAGACGCGTTGAAGTAGAAAAATTAGTGAGATTCGTGAATAAGATTCTTGAAGAGTTGTTATTAGTGAAGAATAAGTCATTTGTTAAACTTTGCAAATTGGCAATGTATAGATAACAGGTTTTATTCTATTTCTTTGATTTTTTTCTATTTGTATACTTCAAGTTTTTTACATTTTACCAAAACTTAATCCATACTATAGACTCAGGTATAGTACATA